TTTGAGGGGGCCAACCTAGGAGTTGGGGGACCTTAGTTCCAGGTCTTTGCAACAGGCATCTTGCTACTTGGGTAGTTCTCTAAACTAGGGTTTAGGGTTTAGGGTTTAGGGTTTAGGGTTTAGGGTCTACTTGGGTAGTTCTCTAAACCAGGGTCCCTTTTTAGTTCAGGGCTTTGGGTTTAGGGTTTGGTAGGGTTTAGGGTTTAGGGTTTGGGGTTTAGGGCTCTATACTAGGGTTCCTTTTCAGGTCCCAAGAGTACGGCACCCTTTTAAAATGGACCCCCAAAAGGGACCGAATTTAGAGAGCTACCCACTTGGTGTCTACAGTACGATTCCAGCGTGTGAGTTTAAAGGGAGTCAAGTTGGCTCCGGGTTGGTCGGCATCTGGCAGTCGGAGTCGCATCCGAATCCAAAGCCCTAAACCCAATGTCCTGCACTGTTAAACCAGAACCCTTCAACACAACATGTCACAGACTAAATCCATCCATTTGAGCGCTTCCTGTAACCATCCTACAACTTGTTCTACACATGTGTACAGCAGCTCAAAGGAGTAGCATGAGTACTTAACCCTAAACCCTAAACCCCTAAACCCCCAAACCCTAAACCCCTAAACCCCCAAACCCTAAACCTTAAAACCCTAAACCCTGAACCCTAAAGCTTCTAGGGTATGTCGGGGCAGCCCGAAAGCACGGAAACATCCAGCACCACTGTGCATCTCGATCCTGAAGTCAGCCTCGAGCCAATTCATCCTCCTGCGTCCCTGTGTTTTGGCGTTTATGGCCTTACAGGTTTAAGATGTGGGTTTTTTTTGTTTGGGGTTTGGGGTTTTGGGTTTAGGGTTTCGGGTTGCATAAGCTTCGGGCTTTTAGGAGTTGTCTTGAGCTGTTTCTTTCTCTTCCCACAAGGCAACAGACATGAGAGCAGTGCTGTGTCGAGAGACCCGCAAGCACCCAGTATACAGCCTGCACATACAGACAAGTTGCTCTCCCGATCAGGAGTTCAGTGTGGTAGGTTATGAATCATGATGGACTTGTTCCACCTCTCCAAGTCTCCAAATGTTATTGTTTGGTTACGTTCAGGGGTTTAGGAGTTTAGGAGTTTAGGGTTTAGGCTTTTGGGTTTACCTAAATTACTAAACCCTAAACCCTAAACCCTATACGAAGTACGGTTAGAACTAGGAAGCTCAGCGCATCTTCGTGTGCGTGGAAGATCAGTGCTCGCCGTAAGCTCAGCCCAACCAAGAAACCTCAGGAGACTGAGCTTGCCTACCCAAAGGGTCTTAGGTACTGTTATGGGGGATACTTTCCCAAATCATAATAACACTTCCGAATATAGAAACCCTACATTCTACCATATAGGTACTTTAGACCCTATGGGCTACGAATCTCCCCTAAACCATAAATTACCAAAATGCAGCATATCATGGTCATATGGTTCGTAGTATATAGTATGATATAGCATAGTATCGTATAATGAGATAGAATAGGCTCGTCTTGTTGAGTACAGTATAGCATCATGCACTCGTTTATAGCTTATAGTATCCCTAAGGATCCAAGTACCTGATTGTCATATACTCCCCCAAAGAGTGACCGACATAGCTACGATCCGAAACCTAACTACCCTCAAGTATTGGGCCCTTTCGACCTTTTAGGGTATTATGAAACCCTAAACCCTGAACCCTAAACCCTAAACCCTCATTATTGGGTCCTTTGGACCTTTGGGGGCATTATGAACCCTGAAATTAACCCTAAACCCTAAACCCTAAATCCTAAGTATCCCTTGACTCCTGGGCCTTCGGTTTGATCCAGGGACCCCGAATGGAAACTAAGACGGCACGGGTTTAAGGATTTAGGGGTTTGGGGGTTAGGGGATTTAGGGGTGTATAGGTGTTTATCGCAAGAGAGTTCGGGCGTTTAGGTCTCAAGGCTTTTGGGGCTTTTGGGTTCCTCCTTGTCCGGAGCCTAATTGCGCGAAATCCTTCACTAAACCAGTGAAAACAACCGAGTAAAGCCTAACGGTACCCACATTCAACCTTCTAGCAACCCTTTCTGAACATGCGCAAATCCAGGGCATGAGCCTCACTATATAGAAAGACACCTCAGACAGGGACTGACATTCCAAAACCCCTAAACCCTAAACCCTAAACCCTAAACCCTAAACCCTAAACCCTAAACCGTCATCCTCTTGGAGCAGGCCAGGAGTTGTCTTCGAAGGCTTCACATCCAGGCCGAGGTGCCTGGCAAAGGGCCCTAAACCCTAAATCCTGAACCCAGAACCCTAAACCCTAAAAAAAAAAAATTCCTAAATCCTAAACCCAGAACCCTAAGCCCTAAACCCAAAGTCCTAAACCCAGAACCCTAAACCCTAAACCCTAAACCCTAAACCCTAAACCCTAAACCCTAAGGGATTTTTGTTGGTGTTTAGGCCTTGGGGCGTCGGGTCTTTGCTTTGGGCTTCGGCTTTGATGGTTCAGGGGTTTTCGACTGTGGGGCCTGTGCTTCGGAATTTGGGGTTTTGGCGTGCAGACTTGAGGGTTGAGGCTTTGAGGGTTTGGGGTTTAGGGTTTAGGGTTTAGGGACTTTAATTTGTGCTTCGATCGGGAGGGGCGAGTTGCTTCATACCTATCAGTTGCTGAAGCATGGTGTGCAACCAAGCTTCTTTGCTCAATTACATCGTACTCATTATGGCAACCTTTGGCATCGTGTCCTACACCCTAAACCCTAAACCCTAAATCCTCATCATCATTCGCAGCATCAGTATTTTCTGCCTGCCAAGCTTGGTGAGCTGCTGTTGCTGCCATGGTAGTACAACCCCAACTATTGTCACAAAACCAACGTGTTGGTGTGACGCCGGCTGCTTTCATGGTGTATGCTTTTCAAGCTACCCTAAAGGTCCATGTGCCCAATTAAAAGCAAGTAGTCCTTATTTGGGTACATAAAGGCCAAAGTGCATACTACTTGGGTCCATGGACCTTTTAGGGTAAGTTTATGGGATCCTTAAGGGAGGGGGTTCTAAGATGGGGACAAACCCAGCAATCCCCAATTCTCCCTAGGGCTCCCTTAGGTTCCCTAAAGCTCCCTAAGGATCCCTAGGACCCTCCCCGCTTGAACCACCCTTCCTTAAGGATCCGATGGCAACCCCAAAGGGTCTGAGTACTAATATGGTAGATACTTTGGGGCTCAAAATATCTACCATATGGGTACTTAGACCCTTTGGGATCCACGCTCAAGACCCACCGACCCTGCAGCACGCACCGAAGACGTGACCATGCTGACACTTGAGGTACGAATGTGCTGTCTCGATGGGCAAGAGTTTGCGGGCGAAATACGTCAAGACAAAGTCAAGGACACCGGTTCGCTTGGAAGGGCATCGATGACGAATGCTAAGCTGAAAGGTTAACTGTTTGTGTGCCTGTGTCCTAGGTCCTAAGCTTACTTTATGGGTCACCAAAGAACTTTATCGGTTTTGTCCTGGGTTCTATGTCCAGTGCTGCATGATGAAGTCTTGTCGAGTGCGTCTGGGTTTGAAAGTCAGCCGTGTCAGTCTAGGAGCTTTGCAAGTAACCAGAGAATACACAAGCAATGCCGTGAACGGCCATGACCCGTCCGAATTCAATTGAAGCATAGCAATAGCATTGGTGGTTTGTGGTGGCGCTTGTTTCAGGCTTTCAGGTATTACGCTCTAGATTCTGTGCGCTGCTCAGGTACCCCATGAGATAACCTGCCAAGTTAACCTGCGCCCTTGAATTTCCAAGATGGCTCGCATTCCTGTTTTTTCTGTGCTCGCTCTATGTACAACTATGCGCACTCTCTCTCTCTCTCTCTCTCTCCCTCTCTCTCTCTCTCTCTCTCTCTCTCTTTGTTTCTGCCAGCCAACATGCCACCGCAACTTTCCCCGTTGAACGTCACCCAAGGCAGATTGTCTGCCCGCCAACACAGAAATACTCGCACTCGTAGAACCTCACGATTCGAGAGTAGCTTCCAGGAGGGGAGAGTAGGCATGGATTCAGAATGATTCAGAAGCCTCCAACCCCCCGTTTCATTTGGAAAATGGTTCACCCCAGAAGTGTTTCCGAAAATCGGATTCAACCGTTGCATTTCAAGCCAATGACCCGCAGTTCAGCAGCTGACGTGGAGTCCCGAGCCCCTACAGCGGTGCAACCGACCATTACGGATGCACATGCTCGGCTGTGGTTTTATGTGTGAGAACAACACGTGCAGGCAGAAGAAGCCGCTGCAACCCAAGCAATGCTGTTTTACAAGGCCCGGCCTTGCACGAGTTCAACAATTGTATGTGGTTTCATCGATACACATGTCACCTCGCAGGCAGAAGCTACGCTCCTAATTGACGCGGTGTCCTTGGCTTTTTTGCAGTCCTGTTGTGGTTGTTTCGGGCCATGATGACCTGTTGCCCCGTCCTACGCAGGGAGTACTGACAGGTGGTGAGTAAGTTGGGACCGTACTCCATTATTGCAAAGGCGCAGAGAGGTCTTTGGCGGCAAGCGGGCAATGCTCCCTGTCGCCAGGCTGTGAAGAAAAGGAAAGCAGTGGCTCCGCCCACAACTGCTCAACCGGTCTTAGCGAAGAAGATACGCCTGGACCCGGGCGTGCCGCATGGCTGAGTAGCAGGTGCATGGAGGGCATCGGAGTCTCAAGGCTTCGCTGGCTGCTGAAAATGCGCTTGCCTTTTCCGAAATTATGGCAGCATGTGCATACACACCCATCAACATTGTTTGCTGGCTTAGGATCGGAATGCCTGGTTGGGTCGCGCAGCAGTCAGCGAACGTGGTTGCAACCAACAAAATGGAGCTTTCCACTCATTGCGCGAGGATTGCGAGGACTTTGCGGTGCCATGACATTCATGCATGGCGGCCGATTCCAGCTTCATGAGTCTGTAGCAGTCTTGTTTTGACAGCTTAGCTTGCATGCGCTAGCTGTTGATGCTCGCGATGCCCAAGCAGACAGCATACCTGAACAATAGTTACTGCAAGCCCGCGCGAG